CCAGACCTCCTCCCTACCAGTCTCCCAGTGGGCAGGCTAGGGGCAGACTGTCTATGTGCCAGGCAGGGATCTATTTTGGGAGGTGACCTGAGCCCTTTGCCATCCTGTTGCCTCCTGACCACCCCCACTTAGGAAAGTCATCGCGCTGGAAAGTGATCCCGCTTTAGCAGTGGCCAGTGGGGTTGTGGGATTTCCAGCCTGTTCCTTGTCACTGTGCTACCAGACTCTGGCACTTGTCCCCATGCAGCCACATGGGGACCTCGTGGGCTCCCATCTGTCCAGTGAGAAGGCAGATCACTCAAGAGACTGTGCATGCCTCTTTAGGGGACAAATCTGCCCTGGTCCTGTCAGCAGGACAGAGTAGAGAGAACCACTTCCAGACCTTACTAGGCTTATAGGTCATGGAAAGAGGACGAGACTACCTATCCCAAGGTCAAGGAGACTGGACACACTGTTGTCCAAACTGGAGAGTTGAAAGAGAAGTAGGGAAGGTAAAGATCAGAGGACTGGCAAGCTAGGCCGTAAGACGTGCAGGTCTTCCCCCCGACCCCTGACAAAATGAGTCACTGTGAAAACAAAGGGGTAGGTGCTTCCCTTTGTTAAAGCAGCTAGGATGTCTCAGGTTGCCGTGTAGTTAAGAAAGCGCAGTGTCGCAGGAGGGCACACCTACGATGTACACATTGTAGGAAAAGTCTATAGGATGCTGCTTGGAAGCCAATGGCCACCCGGGACACTGAAGGAGAGCAGAGCAAGCAGAGGGACTTTCAGTGCTGAGGTGTCTTTCATAAAGCCAAGGAGAGAAGGTGACTGGGGCATTGCAAGGTCGCTCCCTAGTAGGTGGGAAGATGAGACAGGGCCCAAACAGCAGTGGGTCTGCCACTCTCCCTCAACGCGGCCCTGTCCTTGTGAACATAGCAATGGCAACACAGTCTCAAACAGGAGCGGGCCTCATTGGTTCAACATTTGGCAAGGCATTCTGTTCTCCTTTTCCTGGGTGACCCTAGTGACATCCTACTACTGGAAAAAAAAATTTAAAAGAAAAAACCTGTTAGTGAGATTTCAACCCAAAGATCGAAACTAATGTTTACTCGTGCCCACTTCTCCAACCTATCATTTCTAGCTTGAGGCTCTGATAACAGAAATGGAAATGATCACAGGCCAGAGGAGTGCTCCCTGCCTTGTGCTGCGCTCCCTGCCTTGTGCTGCTCTGGGCATCTTCATACTGACCTTCTATATCCTATCCAGGGTTTTGATGAGTCAGAAGAAATTCAGAAGAAAAAGGGATTGTGAAAGTCATGACAAGGGAGACAGGAGTAGATAAAGATGTCTGGCCATGTGGGGTGGGTAGTGGCGGCACACACCTTCAATCCCAGCACTAGGGAGGCAGAGGCAGGCGGATCTTTGTGAATTGAAGGCCAGCCTGGTCTATAAAAGCTAGTTCCAGGACAGGCTCCAAAGCTACACAGAGAAACCGTGTTTAGGGGCAGGGGTGTCTGGCCTCAAGCAAGCCTGATGATCATCTTTGCTTCCCAGAATAAATGGGCCATCTAGACTGCCCCAATGGGTAAAGTAGAACAGGTGGATAGAAGACGTGGGGAGGACTACCCCATTGGAGAATGTTCTGACAGCGTTTAGAAGCTCCACGGTCAAGAACATTGCACAGGAGCTTTCTGCACTAAATTCCATAATGTCTTCCAATTGGAATCCCAGGCTATGCTAATTACTTAAGGGGTCTCGCCATGTTTAATTCAGTGGTCTACAAGCGGTGGGAAAGGTGAATGGGTTATAAGCAGGGAGCTTGCAGAGAGCGGAGAAGAGGGATCCATGAGTCTGCCTTGGAAAAATAGCAAGTAAACACGACACACAGAAAGCAGGGGAAATTCAAGCACCAGAATTTCTGCCCTCCTTACATCTTCCACGCCTCTCCCCTTCGCTGACCTTGACCATTTGCTGCTGCTGCAGCTGAGCCCTGGGCAACAGGACTCTCTCCTCCGCACGCCTGAAAGGAGGTCAGCCGGCAAAGGGCACAGGCGCTCGTTGGCACAGGGGGCTGGGCACAGTCAGGAGCAGAGAGCATCCCGGCCCTGGGTTGGAAAGCATGGCTTGTCACAGTTCCCATCAGAATGGGTATTTTGTTGAAAGCAGAAAAGCATTTGTCTTTCCACCCAGTGCCACTGTGGATTCCAGGCAAGGCAGCAGATAGCACCAGGAGCCTAGCATGCCCCCAGGGGCTTTGGACCAGAAAAAGACTGCCCTCCCTGCCCACCCCTCCTCCCTGGTCCCACCTAGGGAGCCCATCTTAGACCTGGCTCTGGGGAAGGAAGGGCTTTCCTGTCACATTCTTTTCAGCTGTCCTAGAACCAACCCGATTGTAGATGACACTCCCTCCAGCTTCACCAGGGGCTGCTTTCAGCTCATCCTGGGATTGCGTAATTATGGTGATTACAGCTCATGGCTTTTTCCCTCTTCATCTTTTGCTTTCAAATTCGTTGAGGCCTCTCATTAAACATGGCGATCCTGAGAAAGTCAGCAAAGTTTTAACAAGATTTTTTTTTAACGCAGAAGAAAGCTCAGACAGGGTTGGTGATTGTTATGTTCTCAGATGTTCCTTTAAATCCCTGAGCAGGAGCAGCAGGGGGCCTTGACCTAGGAGGTATGGGGCGGGGAGATTCAGGGATCCAGGGGCACCTGCCTCCAATCGTCATCTCTCCCACAAACAGTAGGCTCGTAGACCCTCCATGTCTTGTTGAACACACAGACTAGCCAGCGAGAACCAAAAGCACAACCCTGTAGTCTGCAGGTAGAGTTGGTACTGGGTGATAGCTACGATATGGTTCCAGAGCATCCATAAAGAACATGAAGAGGAGGCAACCATTATTCTATGTGGGTGATCATGACCAGAGGTCATATACTTGGTGGAGGTTTCCTTGGTAATGATACAGAGCTTCAGAGCCCATCATTTGCTAGTCCTCAATCATAGTTCTCTTGACTAATTCCTAGGTCTGTAGGACCACCAAGGAGTATGGGTTGGGCGGTAACCACCAGGGCCCCTGGCCTGCCTTTCAGTAGCTTCTTCCAGGTGTGGTACCTGGTTCCCGCTAGGACCGTGAGCTCCAGAGATGGCAAGGACTGGCTGGTGAGGTGCGTCTTGCCAGCAGGAGAGTATCTTTGGCCCCAGGCTGGGCCCTCTCACCTGGCTTCTCTGAACCTCTCAGCCTGCTCCTGTTCCTACCCACTTACCTCTTCGGGTGTCCCTAACTAGAGGAGGGGCTGGGTTGCGACGAAGCTGCAGTAACTACCTAGGATTGAATGGCAGAAGCGTGGCCACACGCTCAGCCTGCAGTCTCTTTCCTCCCACAGTTGACCTGCTTGTTTCTTCCCCCAGAGCCTCCTCCCTTTAGTGCTTACAGGAATTCAGAGACAGAAGTGAGTCAGAAGCAGGCAGCCACAATGGAACCCCCACTCACTTGCTCTACCCGATACTGGTTGTAAGAGCTTGGAAGAGTCCCTCGTGGACCTGAGGGGCATAACAAACCCTGCCTCACAGAGCAGAGGTCGGCACTAAATGAGACTATGATAGTGACAGCTGCCATTGCCTGGGAACTCACGGCGTTAAATTAACCCTGTCAGGCTGGGCATTGCTTGAGATGGACTTTGGTTCTCTCCTCCAACTCTACCCCTGTGTTGGGTGACCATGAGAAGATAGTCTAAGCCTCAGTTTCTCGCTCTGTAAAAGAGAATAGTAAGAGATGAAGTATAAATTCTACACACAGCACACTGTTTGCAGCCTACGCATTTGACAACTATTTAGTAGTATTTGTCAAGAATCGCAGCCTTAGTTCTCCGTTTACTGTCTTATGTCATTTGCAACAGCATTCTGTGAGGTAGGTATCTATTGATTTTATAGTTGGGGGGGGAAGTGGCACTGTATGCAAGGTGCATTTCCTACAGTGGCTGGCATGGTAACAGCTCAGTGCATGGGAGCTTTTATTACTGGCCTACTTTAAACTTAGCTCAGATCATCTGCCTTCCTGGGGAATGGAGAGGGACAATGGCACGTGACCTATTTCCTGTGGCTCTTAAGGGCTTCCCAGGAAGCCTTGGAGCTATGAGTCTCATCAACCCAAGAGGTAGGAAGGGCCACAGTTAAAACGTTGCTGCGTGGCCGAGACCTGGCCTCAGGACTGCCACCGAGGCCCAGGACCTTCAAATGCCTCCTAGTCCAGACACAGACCAGGAATGGTTTTATCCCCTAGAAACTTGTAAAATCTAGTCCTCTGAGCATAGCCCTCCCAGCCGCATTTCCAGAGCAACTCACCTCTCAGCTGCTTGTCTGCCTGGACCCACCCTGAGCAATACAACCGCACACCAAGGCCAGTTGCTCCATCTGCCAGATAAACAGCGGTTTCTATTTTTTTAAAGCACTCATTATACAGCAAGGCTGTTGGAAGACTCAGAAGCCAGTGGCAGGGAAAGCTCCAAAACATCTCCATAAACCAGGTCCCCGGGGTGTGGGCGCCTACTGCTTGTAGCGTTGGTAGAAACAGGGGTGACACAAATGGATTGTCCCGAGGAGAATTTGTTTTATATGCGTCCGAAGGCCGAGGCTTCAAGTCTGCCATGTTGTCAAATGTTGGCACGGTTGGAAGCTGATGTAAAAATCTCTGCCATTAACCTCATAGCTGCTTATGTATCTTGCATGAGATGCTTATGTGAATGCCTGCCCTGTGGACATGCGCGCGGGTGTACACGGCTGCACATACATGTGACCGGGAGTGTACCCAGGTGTGTGCGCTGCTTTTTTGACACACACCCAGGTGTTCGGCGTATGGTTCATGTGTCACCATACGCTGCAGGCCTGCATGCGCCTGTGCATGGGCTGCATGGCTGTCTCGGCTGTATGCGCGTCTGGGCAGGGGCTCCTCTAAAGCCGCAGGTCTTCACGGTTTCAGCTGGATGAGTTATTCTTCACTTCCCTTCCCCCAAACACAATTGCCTAGTGCTGCTGGCGCCGCGTCAGAATGGCCGCCGCGTTTCACCCCCGAGGTGGCTTCCTTCCAGCAGTGGGTGAGTGATCCCGGTGTCTGTACACTCTCTAACCTTGGGGATCCTTCTGCATAGACAGTGTCCACAGTCCAGCAGAGACAATCTGTCTGTCTGCCTGTGGCCTTGGCTCTGCTCAGAGCTCCTGTCCTCATGCGTTGGTCTTACGGACAATCAGTGGCACCTATTTCTTGGAATCCCTGTTTTTGACATCTGTAGCTTTTTTTTTCTTCCTAAGAAACAAGGAGTTGAGTATCCCAGACATGATGCCAACATGAGTCCTTTGTCCTGGAGGCAATGCACAAACACCGTCCTGGGTAGTGATCCTACAGTTCATGTCTCAGGGTACCCACATCCAACAACTTCCTGGGTGTTTTCAGGTCCAATTGCAGTGACTTGAGGTTTCCTCTTCAAAATAAGACTTTCAGAACCCTTCCCTTAGCAATCCTGGGACTGAATCCTCAGGAAAACCCAAACCTTCCTAGTCCTGTATAAGAGAAGAGTCTGCAGGGAAAGAGAAGTAGGAAGGTTCTTGGAAGCTAGGAATTTCAATGGTGTTTGGTCCTGTCCAGATGACACTTGAGAATGCTGCTTAGCCTATCCCTTTTCCAGGTTAAGAAAGCCCAGATGCCTAGCTCATACAGTGCAGAATTGCAGTCAAGGTGGTAGAGAGGGACGGGAAAGGAACTACCTGCTTTTCGTATGCCTCCAAGTAGACACGGGTATTCATGAAGTATCCTGCTTTGGGGAGGCAGGGGGCAGGGGGTAAATCAGGAAATTGTCTCCCTGCCTGCTGGGCTCTGCCTTAGGAAATATAGTTAGGGACACCAGCCAGTGTGCAGGAGATAAGTGCCTTTGGGTAAATAGCACTGAAGTCTTCACAGGTCCCCAGGAGAATCTCATACTGCCGAGCAAGCGACTTCTTCTGTTGGCTTGTCCATAATATCAAATTACTAAGCTTTAGCTGCAAGCACCCTGTAGTCATAGCCGAGGGTGACTTGAACTTCCCTGTTGGAAAAACAGGAGCATCCAGTTGTTGCCAATAGCAACACAGTCATCTCCCTGTTTTCTTGAGTCTTTGGCCTTTTCCTAATTTGGAGTAAACCAAAGCTTAGATCTCCGTGTACATTGGGGGGGGGGGGGAGAAGAGCATGAGGCAGACGTTGTGCAGGCCTCCAGGCAGGTATGCTACTGGAGGGCTTTGCAAGTGAAACGACCCCTCCCCTCCCTTCCCGAGACCACCAAAAAGTTCCTACCAGCTGAAGGGTGGACTGAAGGTGGAAAGGGCAGGTGGCTCCACTGGAGTGAGAGGAAGTAGCGACCGAAGGCCCTATAGACGCGGGGGGGGGGGGGGTGCACACAGCTCGGAAAGCAGGCCAGAGAGTCCAAGCCTGGGCATCCTGCCACCAGTACAGGGCGCAGCTGTTGCGTTTGCATCTCTCCTGGCATCCCTGCCTGGTGCCAGCTTAGTCTCTCTGCAGCTGGAGGGATGTGGAAGAGGGTCTCTCGTGGCTCACCCAAACCTACTGGCAAAGGTTAGCTCTGCAAAGATAGCCAAAGAAATGAGGAGGCAGGAGCCAAGGAGCATGGTCACCATCCAGGGAGGGTTCCCTAGCCTGTCTAGGCTACTCCAAATTGGGCACTTGGTCCATAATGACTTGGAATAAGGTCATTTCTAACAGGAGCTAAGTCCACTCTGCCTGACCCATCTTAGAAAAGGCCAGTGTCACATCCGCTTCTATCCTTGAGGTCACCACAGGAGAGCTTAAAGGTACTAGTAACACACAGCCACAAACACAATGACGGCATCATCTGGTGTGTCCAGAATCCATTGCTGTAGATTTATACATACCAACCCGTGCCCAGCTACACCCCAGCTCAGTGCAGTTGGCAAAGGTACCTTTTGCCAGGCTTACCAGTCACCAAGGGATACCTCCCTGTCACACAACTCCCAGATCTAGAAAGCAGAAGCCCCTGAGCACAGCAGAAAGTGTTTGAAATGGGCTCGAGTATATTCAAGGAAAAGCACCCTGTACTGCCCAGAAAGCGGGTCCAGTTAAGTATGGAGGTGTGCCAAGTGCCCAGTACCCGAGTGTTCCCATCTGCCTCCTCCCTTGAGATATGGCCGTGTGCCGAGTAGATGGGTGGTTCCTGAGGCCGACCCCCTTGGCTCTGCTGCCCTGTGACTGTCTGCTCTCAGGAAAATCTCTCCATCTCTCCTGGAGTCTCCTTCCTCATCCATTACATGATGATAAAGAATTACCTAACCTGTGAAGATGCTGTGGGCATTTGTCCAGGTGTCTGTCAAATGCCTAGGGGTCTGACGTTTGCCATTGGGGGCAGCTGCTGCTAACTGTCTAATAACCTGGGTCTGTAGTGATGAGCCCCGTTCCATCCTGCCTCCACGAAGGCCTGGGCAACTGGAAAAGTTTGCTTGCAAAGAGAGGTCCATGAGCTATAGTTGCCACCTAATGGGTGAAGAATTAGAATATCCAAAGAGAAAGGCCCTGGGATGTCAAGAGAGTGGTTGCCTATTTCCATTCATCCGGCTAGGGTAGCTGGCAGCTCCTCTTGCCTAAATTTAAATTTCAAACAAAAACAAAGGAAAATTATCTGAAAACAGTCCTGGTGTTCAAATGATGAACAGACTCCATAGCCCCTCACTAACCATGCGCCCACCAACACCTACCTATGTCACCACGTGTGGCATGAGGTGCTGCTTTCGTGGGTTTTATCTTGATTTTTACTTTATAAAGCAGATTCAGGATCAGGCCTAAGCTAAATATATACTACTTTTCGGCTGTAAGTTTTTGTTACTAGTTTGAGTTTCACCTACGCCTGTGGGTTTTTTTTTAAATATACATACCTTCTTATATAATATTCAAATAGAATATTTTAGAACAGATCAAGATGCCCTTCAACCCCCGAGAGAGATCAGAAAGCTCGGTGAGAGCCTTGGAGGGATCAGCCCCCAGGAATCTTGCCATAGGGTTCCTACTCTACAGTGACAGGGTGGAACAGCCTAGAAATACCGTCTTCCTATCAGGCTGCTCTGTCTGGCCCCACTGTGGGTGTAGTCCGGCAGTCCTCAGTACATCCCATTACCTGTATTTTCCATTTCCCCAGCCCCACTTCCCATAGCCGAGAACAGGTTAAGAAAAGAGGGGCAGCTGAAGATACTTTGAAACTAGTCTAAGTACAGAATCTTCTATTGACCCCTGACAGAGCTCCTCAGACACCTGAACCATCCCAAGAAGTAGCCTTCTCCCTCTCCACTTTCAAATACCGCTGGGAAAGGCGATGTCGTAGGATTCCTTATACTTTCTATCCAAATCCTTCCTGTGCCTTACTCCGTGCTGGCAAAGCACCAGGAGTTCTGCTCCCCAGGGAAAGACCTGGTGAAGTTAGACAGGCCCTCACCAGGACCCCTAGGCTTTGAACCTGGCTTGTGGCTTTCCAACTGCTTTTCTTGACCCACCTCTCCCCATTCACTGAGCTTGTCAGTGTACAGACATCCCCTGTGAACTTGAACATCACACTCCTCGAAAGGACAGCCCATCTCTGGGCTGGTGTGCCCAATTCGGCAGAACACTACGTTTCATTAGCAAGGATGAAAAACGCCTGGTGTCACACCAAGGGGTTCGGCAGGGATCAATGGAAGCCAGAAATAGCGCCCCAAATTGGTCCTGCCCAGTGGGACCCCGAGTCTCTCCCAGGTGGGAGGAGGGAGGATTCAGTTTCTAGAATGGCAAAGGCGGACCCAGCAACTAACAAAGAAAACGGAGTAGAAAGTCGGTGATGAGACAGCTGGGATATTTTTTTTCTCCCTAATCTTATTTCTTGTGGTTTCCCCCTTAAATTATGGTTGTATATAGTAAAATGCAGATCTGAAATATAAGGTTCTATGAATTTGACAAAAAATACGCTCATGTAACCTACACCCCACCATCCTACAAAAGTCCCTTATATCCCCTTTCCCGCCAATGCCACTCCTCTCTCCCAGGGCCAGACAAACCCCGCTGGAGCCTAGATTTTGATTTGATCACTACTGCAGACATCTAACTTTTTAGTCCTAGATCATGTGAGACGATCAGCCAGAGAATCCTATCAGCTCAAATGTCCATATTCCCTTACATTAAAAAGGGTGACCCCCCCACCCCCACCCTGAGACCCTAGTGACTGGCCCTGCCCTCCCTGGTATGGCCTGTGACACCCGCCCCTAGCTTCCCTCTGAGCCACGGCTCTCCTCTCAGCCAATGGGTTTCTTAGCCTCAGTCTCCCAGGTAAGTACGGGACAAACGCTCGTGGCCATGGGGTCATGCATGCTTTGTCGGTTACGATCTCCAAGTGTGATGCCCAGAGCCTCGGCATGTCCCGCAGCATGTTGGCTCTTCCTCCAGCACCGCACAAAAGGGAGCTATGCCTTTTGTGCATTTTTTTTCAGAAACAAAAGGATTCCCATAACATCTTCCAGGCTTCTAGCCACCTCAAGGGCCACAGAGATGAAATCATGGCTTGGGGGCAGGGGGGGGGGGGCTGAATGTATGGGTGTTTGTGACCTAAGCATCGAGTCCCTGATCCCGGAAGTTTAAGCATCCTGAGTTCTCCTGGGCTATACTTTGCCAAGTGTGTGGAAGGCGAGAGGTGCTCTGCCTGTGTGCCAAGCTCTGGTGTCTCTGGAATGTACCTTCCGCAGTCCAGTTCTTAATCCCTGTATGCTTCCCTCATTTGGGCAAAGGCTGCCTGCTGATAGCATTTGCAGTTGCCCTCTGTTGCTTCACTCAGCTGCACCAAGGCCTCAAGCTGAGCTGGTGCCACAGCCCAATCCTACCTGACAGGCACTGAGGAACACCACACATTCACACCCCCCAAACACTGCTGCCTCTGTAGCTCTATAGGTGCCAGGCACGGGCAGAATGATCCCTCCCCTTCTCTCAGAATTGTCCAAGCTGGAGGCAGGGATGGGAGAAAAGCAGAGGAAGGAGAGAGCCCCACAGGGTACAGGAGGAGGCTCTGGATGGAGTAGGTGCCTGAAGCAACCTGCAAGCCCACTGGGCATAGCCTCTGGGGCAGTTCACCTCAGAGCACAGACAGCTTCGCCTGGAGGATTTCACTTTGATCCCTGAACACCACAGGAATCTCTGCTCTTCAGAAGGCAGGCTGCTGCTGAGTCAGGGGGAATCTCACAATTTCTTCCCCAAAGCCCCTGGTCAGGCATCCAGCCCTGCCTGGCTCCTGTGTGATTAACTTTCTTTCAGCCCATAGCCCTGCCTCGCTCACTCGGACGATGGTGTGGCGGGTGGGTTGCAGCTAGACCTGCTCCGCTGAGCAGAATGCCTGCCAAACCATCTCCCAAGTGAACCTTCCTGACCTCCATCTTGAGCATCAGAGCTAGCACTCAGTAAATGTGTGAGCTCTGCAGTAAGAAAGGGACCCAAAGGCCACACACCACCACCTGGATGCTGAGAGACTGGTACTGTTTCCAGAAGATCCTGGGCCGCTTAGCTACCTGCTTCATCCCTGAAGTCCCCAGAAATGGGAGAAGTGGGGGAGAGGGGTGGGGCACACTATTGGCAGGCTGGCCATGGGTCCTTGGAGTCAGAGCTATGAGGCTGAGTCTTTGGCAGGAAGAGATTAATTATCACCTCCAAATCCAGCCTGGCTCTTTTTGCAGAACTGGGAAAGGTGAAGGGTGGAGGAGCCTCAGGGCTAAAATCACTCAGAACAATCCTCTAGGGAAAAAAAAAAAAACTCTCTAGCCTACCACAACCCACAGTGCCTCTGTAGCCCAAATGATCTCACTAATGAAGATGGAACCACAGCAAGGGTTTGGGCAACTGGCAAACTTCACCGCCTTTGTCTCTGAGCTTTTAAACCACACATTGGTGACATTTTTAGTTCGATCTAGGGATTTTTTTTTTCCACATGTATCAGTTAAATTTAGATATCCAAGTACACAATGTTTAATTTGGGGTCCCGGTAGAGGAAGGGTAGAAGAGGAGGAGCCGGACTGAGTGTGTGGTTACTGCAGCGCTAGGCTGCACCTTTCATATGAGCAGGGGAACACAGGTGACAGGAAGTAATATCGTCACCCCAGAAGGCCCTTAGACTCACATTTGTCCAGAAAGGAGTCTCTACACAGTCCTATAATTCTTGCCTTTATGCCTACGCCGGGAAGACACATGCCCAAATGAATCAGCAGGGAAGGTAAATGTTCCCCGGCCCATGTGAGAAAGGACGCCCCGGAGAGTGAGAGCCAGCCTGGGCTGGAGGCCTTGGAAGCAGTGTCTGTCTTCTAAGGGGCACTGTAGCGCTGGCCCTGCTGCAAAAGGCCTGGTCATCCTTCCGGTGATTCTCAGACTGGCATAGGATGGGCTGGGGAGATAGCTAGGCACATAACATGCTTGCCACACAAGCACGAGAGCATGAGTTTGATACCCAAAGTACCTACATAAAAAGCTGGATGTGGGTATAATCCCAGCACCAGGGATGAACAGAGGCAGATCCCTGCAGCTCCTTGGCCAGCCAACCCAGGCTACTCAGGGGAGCCCAGGCCAATGAGAAACCATGTCTCAAAAACAAAGATGGACGACTGCCGCCTCAGAAATGACACCCGAGGTTGTACCTACCTGTGCACACAGACAGACACACCAGCACAGGAACCCTCAAAGGTTTTTTTAAATCTGATTGAAAAGGCTTTAGCCTAGTATAAACATAGCTTGCTGCAGGCTAAGTTTAGTGCATCTGAAGATTGAGATAAGGTTGTTGATGGGGAAGAGTGTGTGTGTGTGTGTGTGTGTGTGTGTGTGTGTGTGTGTGTGTATGTGTTTGCATGTGATTTTAAGATAGGGGAGAAAGGAAGGGAAGGGAAAAAGAAGTAGATAAAGAGTTTTCTGACAGCTCCTGGGGGCAATTCCATTTCTGGACAAGCCTTCCTCTACACCAGCGCAGTCTCAGCTAGGTTGACTGTGTCCCTCCAAGAGAGCTAAGCCAAATGGTACACAGCCCTGGATCCTGGCGCTCCAAGCTCTTGTTCGTTGATTAGACCTGCCCATTATCCATCAATTCATCAATCAGCAGGTTTATTGAGTGCCCTACTAGGCTTCACCAACCAGATCAATTTTTTTTAATTACATCCAGCTTCCACACAGTCAAGCCCAGTAAACAAAATGAGCCCTCACACCCCGCTTGGAAATGCACGAGAAACGGTTGGCCCGTGCACTCTCTCACTGCCAAACTCCACAGCCCTTGCTGATGGGGGTTCATCTGCTGCCCTCTGCAGATGGCCATGGTGTCGCTGACCCACTGTCAATAGCAGGGCGGCCTTTGATGTTTTCCCAGACATGGTGATCAATGTGTTCCCAGTCCCGCCACCCTCTTCTCTGAGACCCCTGTCCAATAATATGAATTTCTAAAAAGGGTGCCCAGGGAGCGAGTAGGAACTATGTCAAGGGAAACAAGTAGAGTGGTCAAGCCTCATTCACCCATGGGCCTCCTCGGGCTGTTCAGAGCACAGGCTCCTCAGCCATGGCAAGAGACCACGTAGACAACTAGACTGTGCCAGGCCTCTGTGCCTCACCATCCTGCTTATTCTTTGATTCTGAAAATAACAGTCACATAGGATTTAAGAGTTCATAGACTTCCTGGTTCAGGGTCGTCACACTTGGCCACTGAGCACTACCACGGAGAATCAGGGTCCTAAGTGTGGCAGGAGTGCACCTTTCCTGTCACCTCCAGAGAACCCTGAAGGTCCCAGTCACGTTTACAGTCACAGCACCGGGGCCCAGAGTCCCCAAATCCTATCTCAAACCTTCAAGTAGGATTCACAGTTTTCAGAATCCCCGTGACAAATTAATTCCTTACTTTCCAATCACCAGATCTGTAGTCACCATCTATTGGTGTCAACCCACCCTTCCTGACCTCAGACCTCCCCAGCACACCGTTTCCTTCCACACTAGAGTAAAACCAAGTTCAAGGGCAGCCCATGGGTATTAAAGGATCTGAGGGCCTTAATGCCTAGGCTTTGGTAAGTAAAACTCCCATACCCCAGCTGGAGTGCTAGCCATATACACTTACTCCCTTAACCTGCCCAAAGTCCTGTTTGTTTTTTCCAGTTGTCCTTAGCTGGGGCTTCCTTCCCTAGAGATCCCCTATTAACATGATCAGCTGGGTTGGGTGGTTGAGCGGTTTGGCCAGAGTGACTCCTACAACGATTAATTCACCTGTTTGGCTCTCTGTCTCTGTCTGTGTGTCTGCACACCTGTGCGTGCTCTGTGTCGGCTCTCTCTGCAGGGAAAGTCGCTGGCGGGCAAGCGCCTCACGGGCCTGATGCAATCCTCCTGACTGTCCCCACCCCAGGGCCTGGGCCTGCAGAGCACCCGGGCAGGCGGCGCTCCACGTCCAACGACAGAGCTTCCTTGCGGGGAGATTTGGTCACTGTGAAGGAGAAAGAGTGAGGGCCACGGATTGCAATGGTGGGGAGACGCGGTGGGTGAATGGGGAAGACCAGGCAGAAAGAGTAGCGGTGCTGGGCCAGCCAGGGAGAGGCCCCGTTGATGCCTCTCTCGTGTACAGTCTCACGTCAACGCTTATTCTCTCCAAGGGCCCATTTCTAACTTGGCCAGGGGATGTTTCGTGGGGCCTGACTACCACTTGAGATGTTAAACCTCACCTGTCCAGTCGTCTGGGAAACCATGGCTTTCAGCAAACTTCAGAGGGATGAGCGGACCCGGGCACATAGTATTACGCATCACCTCCATAGTCTCTCTGTTGCACTCACTGCCTCCTGCCTTCCCCCAACTGGTAGCCACCCAGGTGTAGTGGACGGACGACAGACACTGCTTTCACAAAAATGTCAAACGTCACACCTTCAGCACCTGGCACTCCAAGTTCTTTCCACCCTGAGACCAAATTTAAAGGAAGTCTCTGTGGGTGTGGTGGCCACCCACAGGTCCCCTCAAATGTCCAAGGGTCCAGTGCAGACGATGGAGTGTGTTGCTCAGCCACTGAAGGTTCTGGTGACAAATCTTAAAAATATGATTTCTCCTTGTCTAATGGTTTTGCCCCTTGCACCTTGGTTTGTTCCCTCATGTTTTACTCGAAATAAACGTGGCCATAAACTCAGGGGCCATTGGGCTTCTCCCCACCGGTAGCCCAAGTTCCTGGAGGTGGATGGACTGTGGGGCTAGCACCAGGCCTGGCCAGACTCTTGGTGGGTTAAGGTTCAGCTGTTCCTGAAGCTAAAACACGATATGCACAATGGCAGGACTGGGCCAGAGCCACAGGTTCCCTTTCTCGACCTCATTCTGAGGGCCCAGCCAAAGCACCCTGTTAAACGTAGCCAATCATCTAGCTAAGAGCAAACTGTGTAAGACCCTGCAAAAGATCTGTCTTCTTCCTGTGTGTCAGAACAACCATTTGCCAACCTGGCTGTGAAGTCATGCCCAGAAAGCGCCACGTCAGGTCCTGAACGCATAGGGGGTGCTTAGCAAATGGTAGGTAGCACAGGTGTCAATTCTTGTGGTTGCCACAAGCCCTCAGACACTGCTGTAGTAAGCAACATGCTTTTAAAGTCAAACACGGCCTCCCACACACCTTCCCTGCCAATACCTGTTTGTTGGCCCCTTCTTTCGATCTATTTTGGCCATAGGTGAAAACTCTTCCTTGGGACTATATAAACAGGGAGGGAGGGAGGGAAGGAAGGAAGGAAGGAAGGAAGGAAGGAAGGAAGGAAGGAAGGAAGGAAGGAAGGAAGGCAGGCTTGTGAAAGCAAGCTCACCAGCTGGTGACCAAAGGCACAAGTGTTTGTTCAGTCCCAGCCTCCTGGGTGCACCATGTGACCCATCCACCTAGCCCCCACCCGCAAAACCTGCCCATACCTGCTTCTACACAACAACCAGATCCACAAGCCTTCTGTCCATCCATCACAGGGGAACCACCACGGGCACTTAGATCCCACCCTCTAAGATTCCTAACCCCCACTTCTGTCTCCCATTCCTCCTTTTCTCCTTGAGATATGGTAGAAATCAGAAGGGGCCTCCCAAGGCGACTGTAAACACTCAGACTCTAGTCAGCTGCTCCCACCGAGCCTGGCACTTTGTAAATAGTAGGTGATCCCATGAGTAATAAGTGAAAGAAGGGAAGCCACAACCCGAGTAATGGAGTCTTCTAACTCTTCCTCTCTAGTTCTTTAAAAAAAAAAAAAAATCCTCTACACAGAACCCTTCAGCTTCTGAACAAAATTGTAGTCCAAGTTCATCTCCACTCAAAATTGCCCAAAGGAAACTCTTGCCTACCAAGGGTCCGTAGGCTGTCCTGACACCAAGATATCTGATGTTCTCAAACAATGGGTACATCTGTGCCCTCAGCCATCCAGGACAAGGATTCTGGCTGCGTCCTGCCCCTTCCATGAACTCCAGAACACATGCTAAGCCAGGCTACATCCTGGATAAGGCCGACTTCTTGTCTGTGGCTTTTGTGCCCCTTTTTCTGCCCCAATTCTTGTCCGCTGTTTCTACATTATGCAACCAGAAAACTGATCCGGCTCTGGAGGTCGCCACATGGCCTACCCAGAGCCAGGTATACTCTAGTCCTGAGCGGAATGGGAGGCAAGCTTCTAAACACCCTCAGAGGACAGAAGAGAGGAGTGTCAGCAGGTCAATAGCGCCACGGACGGACACTTCAGATGGATTCCAGCCTGGAGCAATAAGCCCCCCAACACCACACCTCATATCACGACAGGGGTGACCTCAGTGTGTGGCCACTATGATGTGTTCCTTAGTAGATCAGGCAAGGAGCTAAGGAAATAAAACAAAGCCGCTCAACTCAAGTTGACAAACCTAAGTCAGTTTGATATGCAAAGATTTGAAAAATTGGGTATAAACCAGCTTCCCTTTGACCTGGTACACACAGACAAAAAATCTATATGTTTGGTAATCATTTTTTCAGCAAAGCAGATTCCTCCCTCCACCCCATCCTGGCCCCCAGAAGCCTGCTGGGCTCTCCTAACCCAATATGGTCTCTGAGATGAGACTCTACCCCATGATGACTTGTGGAGAAAATAACATTTTGGCAACTTCCCCAATCTCAGTCCGTGAGACACCTATGGCCAAGGCAGGGGACAAAAGCTGAAATAAGGTTTCCCTGCATGAGAAGAACAGAGCTGGGAGATTGTACACCTAAATGCCCAGCTCACTGCAACACCAGCCTGGCCCAGGTAGGCAGGAGAAACCACCTGCCAGTCTAGAAAGTAGCATGGCAATTGTCATTCCCCCTGGCAAGCTATTGCTGTGCCCCAGAAACAAAGGGAGGTCCAACCCAAAGTACAGTTAGTGAAGTGTATTACACGCTTGCCCACAGCTCAGTAGCTAGGTACCAGGCTAGTACCCAGGAAGGGCCTCCTACAACGTAAGTTGCTGCTTGGACTAGCCAGACTCATGGGATGTGCCCAACAGGATTCCTGGGATGTTCAAACTACCTCACCAACAGGATATAGAACCAGGAGCCTGGCCCCCTTGCTTGTTGTGCAAGTTGGTGTGTTTTCCTGAAATGTGTCCTCCTGTTCTGTTCTACATGTGTGGGCTTCAGAAGACAGCACCTAGAAGCCTTTTCCACAAGTGGGAAAGAATCAGAGGCTGTCCATCTTTGGGCCCTGGGGAATTTATTGGAGGAAAAAGTTTCAACAAGGTACAGGAAGTGGGGAAGCCCAGGGCTGGGGTGAAATAGCATGTCACCAGCCTCTTAAAAGGACCTGGCTGAGATGAATATGTGGCAAGGACCGTGGGATAGTTGGAGCAGTGGTCAAATAAACTGCTAATAACTTACCACCAGACCCTCTAAAAAGAGGCCTGTGCTCATGTAACCATGGCAACAGCAGATGCCAGCAACTTACTCATTAGTGCCACCCAGTGATAAGGCCTCCCCTGGGCAAGACCCAGGGGCCATCTAGTAGCAAAGTAGCAAATGTAGCAATAAGAGACAGGGACCCTGGGGTGGCAGGATCCAGATAACTGGGGCTCAGCCTTCCCCAAGCCACAGTGAGGGGGCAGAACCAGCTGCCATCAGCTGTCCAGGTGGGGGAGCCCTGCCCACACTCAGGGTCCCTGTTCTATAGCCTACGACTATTCACCGCATGACCACAGACGTCGGAATGGCCTCCTAGTAGTGCATGTGGTTCTCATTAGTTTATTTTTCTGGAATTTGGGGACTGGACCCCAGGACCAAACATGCTGGAAACGGTCTAAAAATAAACAACTACTTGAACCCACTACAATCCAGTTAACTATGTGTGGCTCTTTGGTTTGGGGGTTCCATGGGCAGAATGCACCTCTAGAACAACAACAAAAAAAAAAAAAGGTACCTACTGTTTCCTTTGGCCCATCACTACCTACCGCCCTCACCACCACACACAAATACGTTTATCTGTTTCCCTCTCCTGGGGACACCAGAGCAAGAGAGGAAAAAGCAGATGGTCCCAGTAGCTTGGGATCTCAGTGTCACCAAAAGGCTGCAGCCACAGTCTCTGCCAGGGTACCTTCCTTTAGGTGGTCACGTTGCCCTGATGTCTGTACGCAGGAGTGACCCTGTTAAATAAAGTCTGAGAACCAAAGTCTGCCATATACAGACTGTCTCTTACAGGGAGTCTTGGTTTCCTGAGCGACAGACAATCTCATTTCCCCACCACTGCCTAAGCAGCGGGACACCTGGAGCCTGAAAATCAGGCTGTGGCAAAGAGGATGGGGGAAAAAAGTCACGAGGGCCCTGTGATAATGAGGAGGCTGGCTCCTCGCAGCACGCCTCAGAGGCAGAAATTTTGCTCCTGAAAGTAGGAGTGATCTCAGAGATGTGGGAATGGGTCGCCAGTCACATCTTTGTCTCTCAGGGCCAGGGCCGGCTCATTGTACAGCTCTCCTGATGTAGAAGGTCAGGTTCAAGGTGACATGTGCCCCATTCCTTCCAGTCCATATTCTGCCCTGCCATCAGGCCCTGGCCCACCCACAACAGCCAGGCTTCTCCGCCCTCCTTTGCCACAACCAACCCCAACCACCTCCCCCCTCCCAGGGAACCAGATAGCCTCCTTGCCAGCCTACCATCTAACTTATTTCCACAATCTTTGTCTAGCAAACTGTCATTGAGTATGCATACAATTCTACATACCTCTGAGGACAAATATCTGTTTAGATTCGGGGTGGGGGTTGGGGAAGGGACCAGTTAAAACCCAAAGGAATTCTGCAATCTACCCTGCAGCTTCTTATCTACAAATACCTTTCTCGGGGCCTATTTGGCAAAGGGCACCATCCTTGGTGCAAGCTTTCTGCTATTCACTGGTCCCAGCCTCCAGGGTATTCTTGGGTCTCTAATTCTAAGACTTCTCTTGGTATGTGCCCGCCTGTAAACCCAGGTGTTCCTTGGACACGTCCATTCCTGGGCCTACAAATCTCTCACCAGCATGTTCCCCCCCATCTCCAGGAACTCCGAGTTCTCTGGGCGGCACTGTGTGTGCCTGCAGCTGCCAGGCTCATCTTTCTTCATCGTATTTGTTTGCTGCACCCAGAATCGAGGCTGTGGGACATCCTTGTCTCTGCACCCCGAGGGATAGGTCACACAGCCACGGAAGCGTCACAGGGTCTAGTGAGCTTCAAGGAGGGTGGATTGGGAGGAGGTTGTCAGGGCAGAGTTGTTCGTCAGGCACACTCCTCCTGTTCCAGCTGCCTCAGAACCTTGAGCTGGACTTCCCAGGCCTGGCTGATTTCAAGCCACAGGGGTTTCAACCAGTACGGAGTGCAAAGACCAAGCCATGTAGTCTGTCTGGACACTTGCTTCCTGGGAGAGAGCTGGAAACTCACATGGACAACCAAGCCTGAACCTGGCGCATAGCAAGTGCTCCAGAAATAGACTCTGGTGTGAATACCACATCTGAAATGGATTTGGGAATTGGTGGTGGTGGTGGTGGAAGATGTCGCAAACCCTGACCAGGCAGGCGGCATGCCCCTATGACTTTAGAGTGCCATTTCTTCCCACCAGCCCAAAGGTGATGGGTCCTGTTGGCCCGTGTAAGCTGATTCCTCTCTGTGACTGCCACAAAACCACTTGCTGTTTTCTCCCAGTGGAAGCCTGGCTCCCTCCCTGTGTCCCTGGGATGACCTCAGTGGATACCCAGCAGTAACAACAGAGTAGCTGGTTATTGGGGAGGGTGCTCCTCACTCAGACCTGGATGGAGGCAGAAAGAGAAGAGGTCACACCTCCATCAACAATCCCATTTGTCCTACAGGCCACGTGGCTTCTTCCTTGGAATCTGGATTCTGAGATTATGCTCAGAAATAGTTCAAGCCAGAGACTCAGACCCCTGACCTAGAACAAGAGGAGCAGACAGGGCTTCCGTCCTGAGAACAACTGACATCTATAGAAACAAGATACTCATCCACCACCACCAAGGGAGAGGCTTCAGTCCTGGGCAGCTGACCACAAAGACGAAGGCCACTTTCCTCTCTCTCCCATTACATCATGGAAAGAATGTTTAAGAGAGGTGGAAGAGTCGGGGAAGGATACTTTTAAAAGCAAATCAAAACCTTGGCTATTCCTCTCTGCTGTCCATGGCCATACCTCAGGGAGAATCAGTGCAGGTTAACACTGAGAGAGACCTCAGAGAGCTCTGTGTGTGTGTGTGTGAGTGTGTGTGTGTGTGTGATCATTTCTGCTGCTTGTTTACTGAGCTGTAATTCTTTTGTAATAGAACTCATCCCTTTTATGTGTAGTGTTATCAATCCTGACCAACTTACACAATGATGTAATGCCCACAGGGGGAAAAACATCAAGATGAAGCAACTCCATCACCCCAAATGTTCCCTGTGCCCCTTGCCACTAATCTCTCCCCCACCCGTCTGTTCCTGGCAGCTATTGATCTGTTTTCTGACCCTGTGTTTGCCTTTTTTAGAAAGCCACATAAAGGGACTCGTACAGTAGGTGACCTTTGAGGCCGGGTCCTCTCTCTGGGTTCAGGGATTATTTTTTTGTGTGTGTGGCTATTTTGCTTTTATATGGAAAGAAACTGAGGCTCATAGGGGGAAGAGAGGAGTGGAGGAGCAAAGCTGAGAGCACAGGCCCCACTGGCCACACCTTTTCAACCAAAAGCCATTTTGTTAACCTCCTGAAATCTTCACGCCCCCGTTTGAGAAGGCACACCATCACAGGACCTGCAGCCCCGCAGAGAAACACATGCTTTATTCTTCTAATAGAAGCTTCTGGCTTGGAAACAGGGAGTAGCAATGCACCAGAGAGCGCAGGATGCTGAAAGGGAGCCCGGGAGGAGGTTAGTGGGGCCTGTTTCCCAATGGTGAGTTATTCTTCCTTAATCTTTAGCAGTGGTACTGTGTGAGAGTAGGCACAGGTTTGTCTCTGAGAGGGAAACTGTTTACTAACAGGCGGAGCTTGCTCAACTCTGGGTGGGCGGATCCTTACCAAGAGTTTTGCAGCTCCCACCACCTTCTCCAAACAGATGGACACAGAATACCAGAGGATGACAGCGGGCTGGTCATGACGTGCTGGCACAGAGCCCACAGACAAGGCAACCAGGTAAAGTTGTAAGGCATTAAGAACCAGTCCAAGCCTGGAGGACAGCTGGTGTGGTCTCTCACCAATCACAGAATGCAGAGCTTCCTGATAATAGTGGGGTTTTTTTCAGCAGCGCTGTGAACTCACAAATTTAACTATATTCCATATACTGAGACCCATTACAGTTATTAGCCTTATTGATGTCTATCATGCTACATGTTGAACCAATTGTGCCCTTTAGACATGATCTTGGTACTCTCTGAGGTATTTGTGGGCATGGGCATAACAAAATAACCTAGAATCCTCAACATATATAATCATACATAGGGGAGAATCCATGTTGGTCAACACCTTGGAGGTGAAGGCTGATACCCAATATACACAGCACTATGGCTCTCATCTGCCTGCAAACCTTCCCCCCATAAATGGAAATAGAACTTTTCTTTTGACCCAACCACCTGGTCCCAAATAACCACACAAAAGCTTACATTAATTACAGAATGCCCGGCCTATAGCTCAGGCTTATTACTAACTAGCTCTTACAACTTAAATTAATCCATTTTTAGTCATCTGTATTTTGCCACATGGCTCATGGCTTTACCTGTCCTCTAGCATCTTGCTTCCCCAGCGGCTAGCTAGCCTCTCTCTTGGCTCCACTCTTCTTCGTCTATGTAGTTTCAGTTTGTATTTTCTCCCACCTAGCCTTATTTGGGCTTGTTATAGGCCAAATGAGCTTTATTATTAATAGTCAGGGAGAACAATACGTATTCACAGCATACAAAAGGATTATCCCACAGCACACCCCACATATTCTCACACACACACACACACACAAACAAGCATTTGCATACAGATACTAAGTCACAGGGCAGGTGGGGGTGTCCCATGGTAGAATTGGCCTAAACAAACTGAAATTTCCTTGCCTCCAGAATTATTAGAATCAAAGATCCCTTTCACAGCCAACTAGCTCAGAGCTTGCACTCTACGGAAAGGCAAAGAGACCGAATGGCTTACACGAGGTTCCATTGGGCAAGGTGTAAAAATGGCATTCCCTGATCCCCCGTCTTTAATGTCTCCTGGGGTCCGTGGCCCCTCTTGTCAGGCTTTCCTCTCCAGCCACATTCCAGCCTCGCTTAGAGTGCATACTTCCAGCCACACACAGGAAATAGAAAGACATGGATTTCAAAACTTAAGAATTCGATACAAGTCCTCAAGATGGTGTAATGCTGATGTGAGGACATAGCTAAGGAAGAGAGTGAGGGTCGAGCAACGAACCCACACATGCACAGGCCGTCCACCTTTGCCAGTGCCTGAAACAGCTCAATGGGAGAAACAATGGCCTTTTCAGCAAATGGTGCCACACAATCAGACGAAACAGAAGCTGAAGAGTGACCCTGTGTCCCCATCTTACACCACAATCAGAAATCAGCTGACACAGATCAAAAGGCTCGGCTGTGGGACTCTTAGAACAATGGAGTAGACCTCCGTGACCTGTGAGTTAGCCGGTGATGTCTTAGGTATAGCCCCCAGACTATAAATAAAGAAAAAAAAAAAAACAAAAAATGACTTCATCACAATTACAAGCTGTTTTTCTTCAAAGGACAGCATCAATAAAATGAAAAGACACCCCCAGATTGGGCACTATTTGACAATCATGTAGCTGACAGATACATCTAGGATAGAAAGAGAATTCTTGAACATCAGTAATATAAGATA